ATTGGTGGGCTGCTAAAGGTTATTTACAGTGTCTGCTGAGGTGATGAAAACATCAACATTATCTCAGAAACATCTGACTGCGGCTTCACATTGTTCATAAAGCCGAAAGAGAGAGCAAGATTATGTAACCAATGTTCCATCTAAGCTATGTGGCTGTATACCTGCCAGGAGTATTGCTCATGGCAATTGATGGGCTGATGCATTGATTTACTGCATATGGTCCTTAGAAGCCCAATGCAGCAGAAACAAAATTCCAGGGACTGTTGCATGTGAGCATGCATCACTTCATTAGCATACCCAGTTAGACATAACTCTTTACTCTACAGTAAAATTGTAAACCTAACAAAACTAAAATCCACGGGACTCAGGGGGAAACTCTCCACTGGTTGGAGTCATACCTGACATGAAGGAAGATGGTCGTGGTTGTTGGAGGTCAGTCATCTCAGCTCCAGGACATCTCTGCAGGAGTTCCTCAGGGTAGTGTCCTAGGCCCAACCATCTTCAGCTGCTTCTCAATGACCTTCCTTCCATCAGAAGGTCAGAAGTGGGAATGCTTGCTGATGATCGCACAATGTTCAGAACCACCTATAACTCCTCAGGTGCTGAAGCAGTCCGTGCTCAAGTGCAACAAGATCTGGACAAGTTGCAAGTAACTTTCGTGCCACACAAATGCCAGGCAATGACCATCTCCAATAGGAGACAATCTAATCACCCTTGACATTCAATAGTGTTACTGTCATGGACTCCCCAGTAGCAACATCCTTGGGGACTACCACTGACCAGAAACTGAACTGGAAATGCCACATCAACGCAGTTATAAAACAATTAAACACACTATTACAGCAGGTCAGAAGCTAGGAATACTGCAGTGAGTTTCCAAAGCCTATCCATCATCTACAAGGCACAAGTCAGGAGTGTGATGGAATACTCCCCACTTGCCTGGATGAGCGCAGCTCCAACAACACTCAAGAAGCTTGACACCATCCAGGACAAAGCAGCCCGCTTGATTGGCACCACATCCACAAGCATCCACTCCTTCCACCACCGATGCTCAGAAGTAGCAGTTTGTACAGCAATGTGCACAGCAGAAATGCACCAAAGATTCTTAGGCAGCACCTTTCAGCATTTTCTGTTTATTTCAAATAACCAATTATTTGTTGAATGTCATGGATATTTCTGTATCTTGTATCCTTTCTGGCAGTAGGTTTCAGATGCCTATCGCCGTCTTGATTAAAAAAAAATCCTTTGCATTCCCTCTAAACGTCTTCCTTCTTACCCCAAATCTATGCCCCCTGTTTATAGACCAAGGGGAGTAGGCTACTCCTCATGGCTCCAGCACACCCCTCAATTTTATATATCTCAGTGAGCATTCCCTCTGTCTCCTCTGTTCCAAGGAAAATAACTCCAATCTGTCCTCAAAAGTTTCTAATGCAAACAACAAACATCTTCTCTGTACAATGCTATCACAATTGACTTGATGAAATGGAAACCATGTGCAATGGGTTTCTTGCTATTGAGGGAGTCCAGCGAAGGTTCACCAGACTGATTCCCAGGAAAGCAGGACTGACATATGAGGAAAAACTGGATCGACTGGGCTTGTACTTGCTGGAACTTAGAAGAATGAGGGGAAATCTCATAGGAACATACAAAATCCTTATTGGACTGGACAGGCTAGATGCAGGAAGAATGTTCCTGATTTTGGGGAAGTTCCAAAAGTCTAAGATCTAATTCTTAGATCATAGTCTAAGAAGAAGGGGTAAGCCATTCAGGACTGAGATGAGGAAGAATTTCTTCACTCAGAGTTGTGAACCTGTGGACTTCTCTCCCATAGAAAGCTGTTGGGACCAGGTCATTAGATATATTCAAGAGGGAGATGCACATGACCCTGCAGCTAAAGGGATCAAGGTGTATGGAGAGAGGATGGGAATGGGATACTGAGATTGCACATTCACAATGATCACATTGGATAGTGGTGCAGGCTTGAAGGGCTGAATGGCCTACTCCTGCACCTATTTTCTATGTTCGACATGACTTAGGTAGCAATGATGAACATTTACCCACCTGTCTCTGAAACCATACATACACCTTTTTTGGCAGGTGAAAATGAGTGATTATTTTTCTTTATCAACTTGTACTGTAGCTGGGTATGTAAACATGCCAATACTGCCTTCTAAGAATTAGCAGTGGAATGAAATACAGCACTCTCATAGTGCTGTTACATTCACAAACCAACACATGCAGCTGGAGGTCCTAGACTCAGTGGCTGCAGTCTGAATCACTGATCCCAGCTGGAATAGCATCTGGGCCCTCGAAAACTGAATGTTTGCTTCAGGATGGGAATGATTAACCAAGGATTAACCAAGTTAATAAGGTGCAGAGCTGGATGAACACAGCAGGCCAAGCAGCATCAGAGGAGCAGGAAAGCTGATGTTTCGGGCCTAGACCCTTCTTCAGAAATGGCTTCAGAATGCCTACTATCTCATTAACCAAGTTAACCTGATTGTTATCCCAAAGCAAGATACGTGTCTTCCACAATATGATGGAAGATGTATGTGATTGTCCACATTCAACATGGGCACCGAATGAGATATGGCTGTGATTTTTCTCCCATCCCACCAGGGCTCCATTTCCTCAGTCCATTCAAGGATAATCAGATCTATTGACAGCCGCACCCACCCCTGCCCTTGCTGCCCCCTCCCCTACAACCTTACTCCTCTCATCACTGGTCATCCTGGCGATCTGAGATCTCAGGTTAGTGCTCTAGTGGCAGCTGTCAATGTATGGGGTCTATTGTCCCAGGGCTATGACATGCCATTGACTTCTCGGGTGTCTGGGTGGCACAATGTGTGATAGGTTTTCTTGAAAAGGGATAATCTGGGAGCCTGATTGGCTCTTCTACAGATGGTGGAGATCCCTGTTATCTCCAAAGCACTGTGCCCAAGATAGAATTCTGGAAAATCTATTAGGAACTCCCTCCAAGGCCAATGTATTTATTTGGAGCTGCGCTGCCCAGAACTGATCTCAGGCCTCCAGGTCTGACCCAGAGTCTGACCTGAAACAAACAGAGAATGCTGGAGAAACTCTGGGCAACTGTGGAAACAGAAACATGGTTAATATTTCGAGTCTGATAACACTCTGAATGAAACTTCAAACTCTCAGCTCAGAAGACTGGAGTCAAAACATTAACTGTTTCTCTCTTTACAGATACTGCCAATCCTCCTGAGCTTCTCCAGCATTCTCTGTTTGTTTCAGATTCCCAACACCCACATTATTTTGCTTTTATTCATAGGTCTGACCAGCACGTTGTATTTGTATTTCATTGTTCTGAATATAACTTCCATTGTATAGAGACTGATTACAGATATTGGAGAAAGGGGGAAGAGATGGGAACAGAAATATTTCATGCAGCAATATATTATTTGATAAGGAGCTCTGTCTTTCTAAAAATCGCCAGTCTGGAAGTCCACTTAGAACAAAGCTAAAAATGTTCCAATAGCCATATTTAATAATTTAAAGAAGTACTTCTAAAATGAGTGTTATATTTGGATTGCGTTTTGAATTATAGCCCAGATAAACCAAGAAAGGAAAAGTGCTTGTTTCCTTGAAGCAAAAATGTATTGTTTACACTTATGACAACCCAGTTCCAGTCACATCTCTGAAAAAAAGAATGAATAAAACATTTCTGGAACCCGCCATTCCATCTCCCTTTTTAATTAAATTGTTGTTGTCCCACTTTCTAAGCCACCAGATTCACAGGGAAAAAAAATGATTCGGATTATTGAAATAATAAACACACCAACTGAAAATATCAAAACTATTTAGGGAGAATTAATTGGGTTAGAAGCAATTATTCAAGGGCTGAGAGTCAATGTTGACTGTTGTTACCGTTTGCTTTAATTTGAAATGTGACATGTTCTAAAGCTCTGGCATGGTCCCAGTATCTGGGTGCTACATGTTGCATTGACAAGCCATTAAAATGTAACTCTTACAAGTTGCAACTCACCCACAATGATGCAGTGACCTGTTTGTGTATATCTTACAGCAATGAGCTCAGACCCATGTCTAAATCCCTCCATGAGCTCATCCCTGTCCCTATCTCTTTGGCCTCCTTTCATAGAATCTCTACAGTGGAGAAGCAGGTCATTCAGCCCATCAAGTCCACTCCAACCCTCCAAAGAGCATCCCATCCTGACCCAGCCCCTACCCCATAACTCTGCATTTCCCATGGCTAATCCATCTAGCCTGCACAGCACTGAACACCATGGGCAATTTAACATGGCTAATCACCCTAAACCTGTACATCTTTGGACCGTGGGAGGAAACTGAAGCACCCAGAGGAAACCCACATAGACACAGAGAGAATGTGCAAACTCCACACGAACAGTTGCCACAGGACAGAATCGAACCTGGGTCCCTGGTGCCCTGAGGCAACAGTGTTAACCACTGAGCCACCCCTTTCCGAACAAACCTATACAATCACTTTGCTCCTTCAATTCTGGCATTGTGTGCATTCTCAATTCCCCATGCTCCATAATTGGGCAATGTGGTTTTGGCTGCCTTAATTGTAAACTCTGGAATTCCCTCTCTAAACATCTTTCAACCTCACTTTCCTCATTTAAGTGGGCACCTTAAAAATTTACACTGTTCAACCCAGCATTTCATTTCCTGTTCTGATATCGCCTTACATGACTCAGTATCAGATTTTCTGTTATATCACTCCTCCAAAACATCTTGGGAATGCTTTGTTGTTTTAAAAGGTGCTTTGTAAATATGATGACCATGAATCCAAAGCCGATTGTTGGGAAAACCCATTTGGTTCACAATGTCCTTTAGGGAAGGTAACTGTCTACTTTATCTGGTCTGGCCTACATGTGACTCCAGACCCATAGCAATGTGGTTGACTCTTATTTGCAATTAGGTACGGATAACAAGTGCTGGCTGAGTTACCCACATCCTGCATATGAATTTTTTAAAAATATGCAAATTGTTGTATCTTACAGCTCGCCTTCCAGCAATTCAGATTAAGATTGTGCCATATCTGGAGAAAAACAGATGCCTGGGGATGCATTATCTGAGGGAAGATTAGTTTACATGTCTCACTCCAACAAAGAAGTGAAGACTGGTTAGAAAGTGGCAAATGTTCGTTGGCTTAAACAGCAGCAAGAGTGAAGTATCATCATGACTTTCAGATTTTCGAGTCACAGAAAGTTAAATCAATCAGCTGTTTCATTTATTTATTCTGGAGATGTAACTGTTGTGAGCTAGGCCAGCATTTCTTGTCCATCCTTAACAGCTTGAAAGATGGTAGTCAGCTGCCTGCTTTATCTGGTGTGGTGCATCCAACAGCCACCTTACCTTTTTCTCTAAGGGTTTGTTAAAACTAGTGACTTGCCAGACCATTTCAGGTCGCAGTTGAGAGTCACCTACAACGCTGTGGGTGGCCAGACAGGGTAAAGATGGCAAACATCCTCCCCGATGGGTTTTTCAACAGCAAAAACAGGGGTCTAGGCACCCTAGCCCTACAGCTGGGACAGCCCCAACCACTGGTAAAATACTAATGCAGTTGGGACTAGCTAGAGCAAGTTGTGAATGGCAGTGCGGACTCGATGGGCCAAATGCCCTACTTCTGCTTCTACATCTTATGGTCTTATGTTCCATGTTGCTGTCAAATTACCAGTAGGAGCGAATATACAAATTGCTTCCTGCCAATCTGCTCAAAGCAAAGTGGGACAAAACATTCTGGCCTTAATTGAAGCTTTCAAAATATTAAGACAAATAAATAGAGTAGACAAAGAGGAATTAAGGGAAACTATTTCCACTGTCCTTCAAAATTTATGGAAGGGCGTTTGGGTTTTGTGAGGTGCTTTGTGAAAAAAATCTTAGAACCAGACTTTTTAGGAGGAGTAAAAGATGTATTGATAGGAGAGGCAAAGGCCTAGTGGTACGATCACAGGACTATAACTCCAGAGACCCTCGTAATGTTCTGGAGACCGAGGTTCGAATCTCACCATGGCAGATGGTGGAATTTAAATTCAATGAGAAAAAAATCTGGAATTAAGAGTCTAAAGATGACCATGAATCCATTGTCAATTGTTGGAAAAACCCACCTGGTTCACTAATGTTCTTCAGGGAAGGAAACTGCCATCCTTACCTGGTCTGGCCACATGTGACTCCAGACCCATAGCAATGTGGTTGACTCTTAAACTGCCCTCTGGGCAATTAGGGATGGGCAATAAATACTGGCCTAGACAGCAATGCCCGCATCGCATGAATGAATTAAAAGAAATTACCAGCCTGTGTGTGAAGAAATGTTTCTTGTTTTCACTCACTAAGATCAGTAATTTCTGAAATCCCTTCTTCATGGAAGTTTTCAACTCTCTTCTGCATGTGGTAATGTTGGATCAGTTATTAATATTAAATGGAATCATTTATTTATTGTCACATGTATTCATATAAAATACATTGAAAAGTGTGTACTGTCACCATGCATAGGTGTCAATTACATTAACTTTAAATGATATAAAAAATAAACAAATCTTTCCTTCTCCGCTGCTATAGTCCCGCTCTGGGCTTCACCAGCCCACGCCATGCCATTGCCAGGCTCCTCACTCCGCTACACCAGCTCACACCATGCCACTGCCAGGCTCCCTGCTCTGCTACACCAGCCCACACCATGCTGCTGGCAGGGGCCTACTCCACGCAGAAACGAGAGTCCCACTCCAGGCCTCATAGGCCAGCTGACTCTGTAGTCATGCTGCCTCTGAAGATGCTACCACCATCTGGAAGCCATCGAAGCCGCTTTCCTAAAGAAGAGCTCTATTTATCAGCTAAGTTTGAGCAAAAGCTAAGTAAAACTGAGAAAAGAGGAACAGGGAGAAAAGGAAAAAGGAAAAGCAGATGAAGAGGACAAGCCTGGGTACAGGAACCCAGATACTGCCTACTTCGCCACCACCATCTTGAACAATAAACGTGAGATTGGTGGATTTTTGTCAATCAGAGATATTGAGGGTAGCGGGCAGAGCTGGGTCTATAAATGTGCATTGTAAAATCAGCTCACAATCACATTGATTAGAAGAACAGGCTCAAGAGCTGGCTCCCATTCCTATGTCACTTTAACTTTCAGATGAGGCACTAAAGGTCCTGTTTGCCTGAAACTCACATCAGTTGGATGTCAAAGATTTGAAGAACAGGATTTTGGCTGGTGCCCTAATCAATATTTATCTCTTAATTAACTCATATGGCTTTACCAAAATTTGCTGTGCATAAGATAACTGCACCATTTCCTACATTACAGCTAACAAAATGCTTTGAAGTGTAGCTATAAAGGGCCTGATGATAATTTTAGGTTGTGAAAGGTGTTATACAAATGCAATTTCTTACTTTTTGAATAATCCACATCCAGGTTCAACGAAACTCTATATTTTTGGGTTACCTGTAGTGACCTAACCCTTGGATTCATGAAAATTGCTTGACACAATTCCAAGAAATGTTAATGCTTATGACTGAAATATTCACGTTAGCTCAAAATCAACTTATTGCCACAAATCGCAAGAAAAAAGTAGACCTGCCCAGCAAGCAATACTAAAAGTGCCAGTCTGCAGACCACCAAAAGTAAGAGAAATTTGAATATGTTCTTGCTGTCACTATAGGATTATATATGCTGAACATTTAACTACTGAGAAATTCATCAGGTATAAGGCATGGCATGTGAATTAGCAAGCATCAACAGATCAGGTGAATAGCAGGTGCTGCCAGATCTAGTTTTCCCTTCTATATTCTCAGACACCAAGGGTTGGATTTGCAGTGCCCTCTGGGGATAAGATCAAAGGCAATCCAGAGCTTAAAGCAGCTCTTTTATGATTCCCAGCTCATTCTTGTCTCCACGCCGTTTCCACAGAGGTAATGTCATGTGCCAGAAGGGATAGGCACCTTGGCAAATGGTGAGTTTGTTTCTGACTTTCCAGTCAATGGATGGGGGTCACAGCCTTGACACAAACTCCAACCTCACATTTCCGGCAGTATTTTTACTAATTGCCTTATGGGGCAAGTCAAGAGGTTACCCATTTTTTGGACAGACACACAACTTTTATAACCCTAGTGTTAATTGAATGTCCTTATGTTTGATCAACCAAATAACTTTCAGCAAAATGATGCATATCCAATGTGGAGCAAAACTGACCGAAGTTAAAGTGGTAAACTTGAAAACTATCTTTTTTGGAGAAGGTGTGGGGGTGGTGTTGGAGTGGATAATATAGCACACAGCTGGGATGTACTAACGTAGCTGGAATCAAGGACAGGCCACATCAGACAGTCAAGAAAGATCGATGTATCTTCAGCCATTGGCTCTAGAGGTCCACATTTCAAATGGTGTTGCCAGACCATTCACCACCTTGAACACTTTGTACTATTCTAGTTACCTTATTTTCAAATTGAGAGAGCTTGGCATAGGACCAAGATGGAAGACATGACCAAGGCTGAAATGGATGGGAGAGAGAGAGAGAGGGGATGAGATAAAAATGAAAGACGAGGAAGGTCTAAATTTGGAGTTGAAAATCTTTAAGCAGGGTTATTCAATTCTTGAAGAATTAACTCACAAATCAGGCTCAAAGGTTCTGACTCTTGTTACTTGGTGATATATATTGCTACTAATGGATTGAGACCTCTTTTACCAATGTGTGGGGCATCTTTATAAAAGAAGAGGCTGAAGGACGTGTTAAGGAAAGCTGAATGAGTAAAAATGTTTGATCAATTATCCACTGAGCACTAAATCAGCGTTAGCACTGTCACTTCAGAGGTTGACAGTCAAAGTGCCATTCCAGTGATCTGAACATGAAATCTGGGCTCACATCTCAGTGCAGTGCTGAGGGAATGGCAGAGGTGCTGCGTTTTAGTCAAGAGGTTAATCCGAGACCGTTTCTGCCTTCCCCCTTGGATGCAAAAGGATCTCATGAAGATTTTGAATAAGATCAGGCAAGTTATCTGAAGTGTCCAGGATCTAACACTTGCTCAGTCCTGTTGTGACCAACCAGCCTAGATTAATTGATCAGGACACCGAGTGCAGCTTGAACCCACACAATTCTGGTTGAGACACAGGTGTGTGACCCTTGAGCCAGAAAAAGAAAATGGTGGATTGAGAGTAGCGTGGATATTACAGCTGCTCCTGAGATTGCAGGCTTACTTCTAACTTTATTATAGTTATTACATTTCAGTCGTTCAGATTTTTAGTTTGATTCTTTCTAGATCTCTAATAGTCAAAAAAAGTGTTTTTTTTTTAAAATGGAGTTGTACTTATGGAGCTTTTGAAAGACCTACACGTTGATGGCTCAATTTCTTTTCCTCTCTCACTTAAAAAAAGTAGTAGCAGAGTATTTTTTCTCAACATTGATAAAGAGATTATTTTGGAATCTTGGAGTGCAGCTTTTTTTACTAAATGGAGTTGTGTTTTTGTTTGAAGAAGCCTACACATGGTTGGCTCTGGAGGAGATTTTATTAATTTTTTTCTGAAGATTTAAAGCTGTCTACTGGACTACTTGGGGAGGAGTCATTTTTAATTTGAATTCTCTAAGATATGCTAGTGAATGGAAGTGCCAGTGGGTTAAAGTACCCATGTGTATTAGCCTGGGTTCGAACACTAGGTTGCTAAGACAGTATGTTGTGCTAATAAGTTAGCAACATTTCAGATGGGAAACCCTAAAACGTCAAACTCTTGGGTAAGGAGGCGTGAGCTATCTCCTACTTTTCAGTCACTTTTTACCTCGGTTAGTTTCAACAAATTTACAAAAGGATTCCCTTCCTTATAAATGGGACACCTGTCTCACAGATGAAGGCCTAGGATCAAGAAAACGTCAAAAAATTCAACAGGATTGAATTCAGGGACTCAGTCAGGGACATATTACACAGCAGGTGATTAAGACTTGATAGTTGAATAGAGATTAGAGTAAAGCAGATTGCAGATAGCCCCCAGCATGGTTCAGCAACTTTTAGTAAAATGGAAAAAAAAACTGGCAGAAAGGCCTTGGCATCAAAATCTTGTTTTGAAGATCTATCTGTAGTCAGATATATCCTACCCCAGGACATACTAGCAGGAAATGTTTTGATCCACAATATCCTCTCTTCAGAACTTTTAGCAAGGCCATATAAGATATGTTTACAATCTTGCTACAAATAACAAGCAGAGGAAATCTTCTTTCCACCAGCACCCCTCCTACACTGTTCCCTGCACCCGCACCCCCCACCGCGCCCCATCCCACAACTGGACTTCAAA